GTTTTTTTGTTGTCATTCAGTTGTTATTTTAGCAGTTATATGCATAGCTCAAAAATTAAACTTCGCCTTTTACTATAACTTTTTTAAACGTAGTTTCTGGTTGTTCTAGTAAAGGCGTTTTTATTATCATTATATGATTTTGAAAAATCCAGTTCAGATTTGCTATATGAGTTGGTAGTAAAATGGATGGGTAAAATGAATCAATATTCAATTTATTTCATTGATTCTTAGTAGAAGTTGAAAAAGAGAAGACGAAATTCCGCATATGTCGACATCATCAGCCAACTCCTGACTCTCAGTTATATTTTAAATGTGAAAAACAACATTTTGTTACTAAAGTAATGCCAGAAATAACACTGCAAACAAAGTTTCAATCCCACGATTAATATGGCCTAATCACAGTAGAATGCTAAAACTCCAATGCACCTGAATAGATGTGAAAGATAGAAAAAGAAACCCACAGAACGCATAATTATATTTTAGGTCTAGATCGGACTGATGTGTTTATTGTTGCCTTGAGAAAATCATGGACATAGAAATCTGATCCATATTTGATCAATACGTACATCGTATAGTTTCGAAACCATAGATATATAATTTCGAAACGATCGATTATCAGTATTTGTTCGAAAATTCAGGCTCATTTTATTTAATATGATTTCAGCATCATTTTCCAAAACTATTTTTTCAAATACAAAGGTAATGATAAAACTACTGTTACAAGAATGTTTCGGCTTTTCAGGTCGTCTTCTGTTGAAATTTATTCCTGACATAGGAGGTAAATATAACCTTTGCGATAACACAGATCGCTGAAGATGCCAAACACTTGCGCCACTTGTAGAGAATATGGCCTAAAACCCGAAGCCACAGACAGTTACTGTTACTAGCGTTTTCTACTGCCGTTATTCATTATTTCTGATCATATTGTTAATAATAATTATTGGACAAAAAATAATCACGCAAGCACGTAAAATTTCAAAACAATTGCAAATAGTATGTCCACTCCAAAAGTCCAAAGAGTCGAGACGGTACCCAAGGAGTAACTCTTTTCACTCCGCTCCTGAAATAACGAACGTCACTCGATTTACCCCGTTTTTAAAATCCGAACAATCGAGGAGTGAAAAGTTTGAAGTCTGGATGTGGTCTGGAGTTGATATCCGAACTCACCTCATATTAACCTTGTGTTTTGCTTCATAAGTTTGATTAGTATTATGTGTTTTATATTTTGATTTTGATTAAAAGTGTTTGTGATTATAATTTTTGAAGCTGTGAAATGAAAAACAATATAAAATCATTTGATACCATCATAAGAACAATCGATGAAGATGATGACATCGAATATTTTTCAGAAGAGAGTGATATCGAAGTTGAGGTTAGAAACACATTGTCTTTAATTTAGTTCCATTAGAATTAATTCTCAAACCTGTTTTTTCAATAAACAGTAAGTTAATTAGAAAAGGAGTGAACAATATCTACTGTTTTATAAATATCAAAGATATTGTTTGAAAAATTGAATGTGTCCTTAGTAGAATTTCAAATTAAAATTTTTCATTCAGTTCAGTTCAACTGATCAACTTCTAGTAGTAAATCGCATGAATCAGTCATAAGAATTAACAGGTACCACATTTGTCATTGACTAAAAACTTGTATGAATGTTTCCATTGAAAATTAATGCTCCTACTCCCTAGGATATGAAACTGCTGCAGAAAGTCATCTTCAATTTGTCTTTTGGAAACTTGTAGTCAGTAGTTCAGAAACTGTAAAAATCGGTAAACTGACTATCCCCCTCTTTGGGAGAAGCTTGATTTCATGTTTTTTTGATATAATTTCAATATATTCAATACTTTATCTTCAATACATAGTTGTAGAGGCTCAAAGTAAGGTGCAACTCATGCAGTTCAGTTATATAGTTTTTCCTTTCATTGATAACTTTTTTGATGTTGTTTATGAATGACGTACACTGTAGTTGACGGTCTTTTCCTAAAGATATATTCATTTAGTGATATTTTTGTCTGGACAAAATTTTTTACATTATTACTGGTGACTAATTCTATATGCTGGTAGATCATCCTTGTTTGTGGAAATGGTAAACTGTTTTAGTAAGTTTTGATGTTATGCATTTATCCAGTTCCAACTGTTTATGGAATATGTACCTACCCGCTTTTCAATACCATTGATTTAATTTGCAATATTTTATTTCAGTTCCAACCTACGAAACAGAAAAGTAAAAATAAAGCAGATTTTGCAACAGACTTCAATTTTGTGAGCTCTGTGGAAGAGTACAATAAAGATTCTTGGAATGATCTCACAAAATATGTCAAGCGCAAAGCCAAACAAAAAACTGATGACAAAATAAAAAAAGTTCGGCAAGCTCAAATTGAAGATGATAATGATGAAAAAGATGAGGAAGATGAACACTCAGATATTTCATTGTCCGACGATGAAATGAAACATGATAAGATCAAAGTCAAGGAAAATAAGAAAAAGAAAGTCAAGGCTAGTGAAGAAACGGAAACATTTTTTGATGATATTGAAATCAATACTGAGGCTGGTAGTTTCTATCAGATGAATTTATCACGACCTTTATTGAAGGCTATTTCTGAAATGAAGTTTGTCCATCCAACTCCTATTCAGTCGGCAACAATTCCAGTAGCTTTGCTAGGTAACATTGTTTCAGTAGAATTAGCTATATATGTTTCAAAACATTCATAAACATTTCAATAGGCTTTCGTCTCAATCTAATATTTTTGGTGAACAAATTAGGCAATTGAAATATTTTTAGAGCAGTTTCTTTTGACAAAATGGTTAAGGCTTTCGCGGCCAAGGTTTTCAGTGTCACCATTTTTCAGGTCTGAAGGACATCGATTTTTCGAATTTTTTTCTGAAGTTTCGCTGGCACGAGTGTCTAGCTTTTCCAGAGGTTTATACATCCTTAGTCAATCTCCAATGAGAGCAGACGTCAGGAAGAAATTCCAAAAATTGACGGCCTTCAAACCCAAAAATTTTTTTTATTGTGATAGACAAAACTAATTGCAACTGATTTTTCAGGGATTAACCCAACTCTATCATTTCGAATAATATAAGTAAAGTTGGAATGACAACTCCACTCACTATTAATTGACAGAAATTTCAAGCCTCAAATATTAACAATAAATGAGAGTCCCTTTGGCAGTTATGTGCAAAATGAAGTTTTGCCATGGGCCGCCGAATGGGATTGGCTTTCTCTCTTCCTCTGCAGCTTTCACTGCAAGTAGGTATTAGATGACATCAGAGCCTAAAAAACATTGCATACCTGATCTAATATCAGATTAAATTGTTTTGACCTGTCATACTGATGATACTGTCTTGTATAGAATCTCGACATTGTTTTTAGCCTCTGATACCATCTACTTTAGGTGTGTTTGTTCAATACAAATCTGATCGCTCGATAAACTTGCTTCGCTTGGCAAGCGTTCGATAATGCAGATCTATTGTCTCGGTTACATCTGATCTATGTTCGGTATTTACAAGAGTGAGTAAAAAATGTGATAGTTTAGCTTCGAGATTACCTTCAGGATCGGATAGATTTTATAGTTGTCATTTGTTATATTAAAAAAAAGTTGGTTGAATATTAGGTATTTTTTGAAAAATCACTTTTGGGGAAATTTTTCACTCTTGTCAGCGCATACTATCTCCAGAAAAGATTCATTATTGACATATGATGCTCTAGTCATTTTAAAATAGTTGTAAAGAATGTTTGCATTTTTAAAATAAAATTATAAAGTACTGTGCTGTTATAGAAAACATTTTATCGATCATATATTAGAGATTTTGTGATAACAAATAGTAACACAAAAGTCGACTTGTCATTCAGATCGAATCGAGCATTCGTTAAATATATTTCGCTCCTTTGACTCTGTGAGCACTTTGTATCAAATCTGCATCTGCTAGCTCGGATCTAGAGATTTAATTCTTATTATAATATCGTCAGATTTAATTTATTTTAGGTAGAGATATTTGTGGGTGTGCTGCCACAGGTACGGGTAAGACAGCTGCCTACATGCTACCAACCTTGGAACGTCTCCTCTATAGGCCATCAGGCAATGTACCAGTCACTCGAGTATTAGTTCTGGTTCCCACCAGAGAATTAGGTGTCCAAGTTTACCAAGTCACCAAACAAATTAGCCAGTTTTCAGACATCCAAATCGGTTTGGCAGTAGGAGGATTGGATCTCAAAACACAAGAAGGCATCCTGAGAAAAAACCCAGATATTGTCATTGCCACACCTGGTCGTTTAATTGACCATTTGAAGAGTACACCAACATTTAGTTTAGAATCAGTAGAAGTACTTATACTGGACGAAGCTGATCGGATGCTTGACGAATACTTTGCTGAACAAATGAATGAAATCATCAAGCAGTGCTCAAAGAAAAGACAAACAATGTTGTTCTCTGCAACCATGACTGATGAAGTGGAAAGTTTAGCAGCTGTTTCTCTCACTAAACCAGTTAGATTGTTTGTTGACAGTAATAGAGATGTAGCATTCAATTTGAGACAAGAGTTCATCAGGATCAGGTCAGAGAAAGAGGCTGAAAGAGAGCCAATTCTTGCTGCTTTAGTTTGTCGAACATTTCGTGAACACTGTATGGTGTTTGTACAGACTAAAAAGCAAGCCCATCGATTGCATATCTTGCTAGGTTTACTAGGACTACGAGTGGCTGAACTACATGGTAACCTCACCCAACCGCAGCGTTTAGACAGTTTAGAAAAATTTAAGACAAAACAAGTTGATATTCTCATAGCTACAGATGTTGCAGCTCGTGGTTTGGATATATCAGGAGTTCAGACTGTTATTAATTTTATTATGCCTGCCACTGTGGAGCATTACATTCACAGAGTTGGAAGAACAGCAAGAGCAGGACGTGCTGGGGTTTCTGTAAGTTTAGCAGGGGAGAAGGAAAGGAAAATTGTAAAAGATGTAATTAAACGAGCAAAAAATCCTGTTAAAAGTAGGGTTATACCTGCAGATATCTTAGAGAAGTACAAGGACAAATTACTGCGATTAGAACCTCAGATTACACAAATCCTACAAGAAGAATATGAAGAGAGGATGCTTAGTAAAGTAGAAAACCAAGCGAACAAGGCTGAAAAATTACTGAAAGGAGAGCAAGACGAGAAGCGACCATGGTTTCAGACCAAAACCCAGCGAAAGGAAGAAAAAGATCGGCTTAGTCTCAAAAATGTAAACGAAAAGAATAAAATATCTAAAGACATTAAGAAGAAAAATAAAAAAGGTGGAAAAGAAACACCAGAAGATAGAGTCAGTAATGAATTGAACAAAGTTGCTTTACTTCAAGCAAAACTGGCTAAGAGAAAACAGAAACAAAAGAAGATTGCCACAGTAAAAGATGACACTTTGGCAGCTGTTGCTGCTTCAGGTAAAAAACGGAAGTCACATTTTGCAGATTTGGTCGATACATCACAGAAAAAGGCGAAAAAACTTCGATATGATGCTAATTTCAAACAGAAAATGAAGAATAAAGAAGGAAAAAATAAGAGCAATAAAAAAACTGTAAAAAAAGGAAAGAGCTTCGGTAGGCCCCAACAGAAAAAAAGAAAATGATGAGGAATAGTTTTATTCAGGTTTCTTGTTTTTGTTTTTTAAATAAAAAAAAATTATTTTACATGTAGTATTACTCAAACCCCAACAATGAAATTATGTTTTCGATATTTTTGCATGGGTCATATTTTGGTCAACTGAATTTACATAGAATTTTCAGTTCTTAGTAGTATCATGCTACTATAAATAATAAGTGAAAATTTTTAAGAACTCTTTCAGTTGAATGAGTAAATATTTGAAACTACTCTCTCGATTATAAATGCTGGTCAAAGAGGTACAGTTCTGGTGTGGGAGTAGTATCAATAATTGATATTGGAAACAAAGGTTCTCAAAATTCTTTTTGTAGTTTGTATTCCATATCAAATGAAATCTTTGTATCTTTTTTTTCATTTATTTTTTTCCGTAGGGTTTATGAAAAATGTTTGCTTTAATTAATATTATCATTTTTTGATTAACAAATTGATGAAAAAACAGTTTTATGATATTACCCAAAACCACAATGATCTTAGATGGGATCTTTTTTGTGTGAAGAATATATCTGGAAATTCTACAATTAACAGGTGGCATTTAAAAAAGTTTTAAAAGTATCATTCGTTTTTATGAGTCTACTTTAAACTGTAATATCTCGGTGAATACTTATTCAATTTAATCAAAATAAGCGCTATTTGAATTAGTGTATTTTTGCCAACGTGAGGCAAGTCAATTAATTCCGTGAGTTCAGAAGTCGACGAAGGTCGTTTTTGCCTGGTCCTGTTTGACGAAGGTTCTATCACTGAGAAAAATATCGAGGTGCTTGAAAAGATGGTAGTCGGTTGGCAAGACGTCTGTGGAGTATAGTGGGTTAGGCGTATTTTGACGCTCAATTCCTTCAATTATAGGACGGTAGTTTGTGAAACATGCATTGACGTGGAGCAGAATCCTGTTGACCAGTGTCGCCTGCTGCTGCCACAATTTTTGGTACATTTCGTCGGTCTCCTCACAATTGGTTTGGCCCGGTTGCAGAAAGTTATAGTGAATCTCACTAGCCGCTGAGCACCATACAGTAACCATGGTAGGTTTTTGCCTTTGGAAAGTGCCTGTGGGGCTCATCGATGTCCAGAACGTCATCTGTTATCATAGACTTCATAGAGGATCTACTTTTCATCATATCATATATGATCGGAACGTTTCCAAAATATTCTCTAGATGATTATGAACATAAGATGTGGATATTATGTTATATGTCCGCTTGGACCGCCCCTCTACCCCCGCGCATCGTACCCCGTCGTCTTACAGTAGGCGCGACGCACAATGGCTAGTAAGCCATTACTCGTCGCAGTAGCGTTGCGTCAAGTTAGTCTTGACTTTTACTTGACAAATTACTTGGTGTAAAAGACAAAGTTCAGCTATATTGTATAGGTATACTAAAAACAACAATTGTGTCAATTTTCATAAGAATTTGACAGACATTCGAAAATGTGCAATGTAAAAAAGTATCCAGTTTATTGAATTGATGAATGTAGCCGTTACTACGTGGTAGAAAATCATAAAGAAGCAAAGAAAATTGAAACTTTCTGTTTTTTACCATTCATGGCTCGGTATTTTGCATATAGTGGCTACCACATAAAGATAGATATATGCTATCGCGGACTTTTATTTGGAACCATATGAAATAAACAATCTTACAGTACCTACATCATATCTACATGTAACTCCAATGGTATAGGCAGCGCAGGCCAAGATAGCTCTCAGGAAGTAAGAATTTTTCCGACTTACTTAAATACTTATCGTGATATTATGGCCAAAATTACACAAAACCTTTGTAAATTGTAGCCTATATGGTATTTATGTAAAGTTTCATCTGAATCCGTTTAGGCGTGAAAGAGCCACAAACATATACACACATACATACATCCTCACAAACTCTCATATTTATATTAGTATGGATATATGACAGTAATTAATAATGAATAATGATATTCTAAAATATTTTCAATCAAAAAGCGTAGTGATGTTAATGTATTGCAATATCAAGTATACCCGAATTAAAACACCCGTACATGTACATACATTATACTTTTTTCTCATTTCGAGAAACATGAAAACAGATTCAAAGTTCACAAAATACTTTTCAGCTATTTTCTGCGTTTAGCATCAAAATTTATCCAAATACATTTTCGCGCTTCTGATAAGCAATTGTTTTTTTCTACAATCGTATTGCCTATGTATACAAAAGTTTTTCAATTTTTGACATAAAGTTGGTAATCTTTTGAGACAACGAAAATTGTCGAAAATCCCAATCCTTAAACCTTAGACAATGCTTTTGCCATTACTTCTGCCTTGCAACGACAAAACTTCACAAAAAAGAAACTTATTGTTTTTACACGTAGATGTCGCATTCTGTTGATAGATATTAGATTCTCTATTATCTGATGTGAGGAATGTACATTACACACAACTTTCATAATTTTATTACCAATCGTTATTATATAGCTAAAGATGCATAAAAACTCCTAATATTGTTACCAACCCCCTTTTTTTTTTCAAAAACTCTACGCGCGGGAAATGAAATTTAACCGATTTTGTACTCATGTTGATAGATGGTGTGAGGATCGAAATCTGTCGCGCGAATTTTGTTGACATCTTAAATTTATGGAGTGCAAGCTGAAAAATTTCTCAGCTAATGTGAACAACAGTGAAAACTGAAGTGCCCACTTGACATTGTCAAGTAGCGTCATTAGAGGTGCACTCTGCTCTGTAAATGGAATGCTGATATTTCTTGAATCTCTTTATTATTTCTTTGTCAAGAGTGCGATATGTCGAGAGTTTTTGAGAAAATATTTCACATTGGGAAGAAGTCCAAGTGATTACAACAGAAATATTATATGCATCTGGAACTAATCAATTCATCACTAAAATTACGGAAATACATGGAAAAGAAAGTGACTTGCTCCCTCTAGCGAAAAATCATGCGACAATGATCCCTATTTCTATTAAATTTTGCTGGAGTGAATCTGTAATGGAAGTGTACAACTTGCCAGCAAAGTTGAAGTAATAAGGCGAAAGCTCCTAATACCAAAAACAGCGCCTCAAAGTAGCTAAAGGAATCAGTTCAAATGAAACCACTTCGGTTTTTACTAATGACTTATGGCGAAGCCTAGCAGACTTCTGGCTTACAATGAAATGAGCCACAACATTCTGGAAATGACATCCGACAGACTCAGTTCAGATGACTCAAACACAGGAGACAGATTCCAGATGCATAAAGACCTATAATTTATATGTAGAGAGATTGGCGAAAAACAAACTATACTGGAAGCACTTGGCTCTCGCTGAGCAAAACATCTATGTTGGTGGTGAACTTCCAAAGAAGAACCTCCTAAATAGAAATACCTAACAACTTGTCTCAGGTCTGAATGCCTGGCCAAACCGAGATGGAAGGAAATGTATCTGCTGACTACCTTACAAGGGAGAGCGCTACAAACAGTTTCATCGGAACGAAACCTGCCATATTGGTACTGCCTTGGGCTTTGCTAACCTGGACTGCAAAATGACTTACAAACTTCTGATGAAATTTGCCAAGATTGGACCATTCCAAGGCATTTATACATCCTTCGAAGTTGTTCTGTCGAAAGGCAATTTGAATAGAACTACGAGAACGTCTACGAGATTATGCACCATATGATATCGATGTTATTTCAGTCGCTATGGTCAAAATATTACATGTAAAGAAAACTACAAAAACTCGCCTACCGAGAGTGCCTCAAATAATTCAAATTAATTACAAATAACAATGAAGAAGTACAAACAATCGGAGAATTTGTAATAAACAATATATTCCCTCGCAACGATTACACATCCATTCACATAATTTCAAATTTTTCACTAACGAGCGGATAGTACATTGAATCAACAACGACAAAAAAATTGCTTGCTAAACAACTTGAATCAGTTTTCGAACCTACTCAATTTTCAGGACAAAATACCAATGCCCGAGATTCTGAAATCAAAATTTGATAGCATTTCATGAAACGATTACTGAAAGAGTTGAACATCAACAAACCTCGTAGTCCTGACGAAATAAACGTCATCGTACTTGTCAATGGACTGACGCTGTTTTATAGGCTGTTGTAAGGAAAAAATCATTCAAGTTCAGGTTATACCTACACATAAAAATGGCAAGTAACCTCTCCAAATAATTGAAGATTAGTCGGTATAAATGCATTGATATAGAAATACGTCATTTCACACTGTATGAATTAATATAAAACCCTTAAAGTTTAGGAATGAAGAAGACTGATTGACTCAAAACATATGAGACTCATCTTATCGAAGTTTCCTTCTATTGGACGGCGGGCGAGTAGACACTTCCATATTAGAGTGCTATCGTCAAATTCGCAAGGTCTACCTACTACAGTTTACTGCCATTAAAAATTCATCGGAGAAGTGGGGGGTTTGGGTTACGTCAGATAAGTCAGCTGAAAGTTATTTTAATTCATTTTTCTGGGTAGCACTCTACTGAAAAAATGCCCAATATCATAAATGAAATTAAATTAGATTTCAAAGATGTTTTATTGAGGCCTAAAAGATCGACTATAAAGAGCAGAAACGATGTGAGTAAATTAAATGCTGACTGAAATATATATTGATTTGCTACTAGCACTTTAACTAGGTAGGTACTTGATTATGCCTATGCTTATTTTGTCATTCTTCATTTGTTGTTTAAATATTTTCTATTGTTCGAATAACATAGGTATGTATGCTTAATGTATTCTTGCAGTGATTAGGTAGGTATATTATTGTCTTGGTACTCACCTACGATTGTAGGTTTTGAAATGAAACTACATAATTACATGAAAGATAGGTAATGGATTTGAAACTCGGAACATAATTAAAATTTTGAAAAATATAATTTAGTGCTGGACTAACAAGGTAGGTGTCTATGATGAACATTGTGATGAAATATAAAACGTTATTGCGACCGACTGTAGAATTCGTCCAAAACAGTTTTTTTCGTCAAAATCTAGAAGCAGCCTTTGAAAGTATTGCTCGGGCTAAGAAAATACAGTTCTTTAAACTTTATAACGTACCTACGTTCTCAAGAATAAACAAAAAGTCATTGAGACAGCGCATTGAAATTTTTCAAACATTTTCATTAAATATTTCTTTTGCTTCGATTTTGCCAAATGTCTACTATCGCGTAACATATTTGGGTATATCAATCAATCCAGTGATCTACTTTTGTAAGGCCTCTTTAGTGATATTTGTTGAGATAAATTTTCGTGATTGCAATTATTTCCTTGTATTCTAGTATAGGTATGCGTATGATTGGTAGATGTCAACTGTTTTTTAGTTCACATGTGGTATGAATAGGGTTAGCGATGTAGAATAAAGAGAAGAAGAAGAATAATAGGTTAGGTTAAGTACGGAACGGGAAAAACGTTTTCCCTTTTTCCGTTGTCATTGAAAGATAGCATGTATTGTAAGCAATTGAATATACATAGTGTGAAAAGCAAGACACGGTTCTCACTTAATTACAAAGAAACTATCACGATAAATAACAATATTCTGTAATGAGCATTTCAGAATCGAACTAGGGCAATACCAACTCCTCATTTTTGTAAAATTTCCTTAGTTATGTAATATAAATGTTGAAATGATTACAGAGTACAGGCGGTGAACGTAAAAAATAAATGAACTCAGAAAATCAACATCTACGATACAGATAGTGTTGAAGTCGCTAGATTGGAGGACGAGAAAAACAAATGTAAGATACCTGTGTGTAATTTCATATATTTATAGAAACTTCCGGGATTGATGTGATGATCTCATTAAATATACTATTAATAAAAAAAGTATATTTGAAATTCAAATATTCATTAAAAAAAATTCATGGTATCAGAAGAAAATACAAAGACTGAAAACAACACGTTTCTGAGATGAAACTGCTGATATCCGTTCTAATCGTAGAAATAAATATTTTTTTTATTATAATAGGTACATATAAAATATGAACACTTGGCATTGTGTAATAGAAACAGTACAAAAGAGGGATGTAATTTGAGAAAACTATTTTCCGGGTCTTATGGCCGTGGTCTGCAGGTTATGTCTGACGTTTTGTCCACTACTGCGGTAGATATCATCAAAGGCGATGTGGTAACACTGCGACCGTTACCAGATACGGGATAGTTACCGGATATCCGTTTCATTTCTTGATAAGGAAATAATAAAGATATTCAATAAATCACAGCATTTCAGTTACAGAGGTGCATGCATGGTACAACTCAAGTGACACTGCGTGACAATGTCACGCTTCAATTTTCTACGTTGCTCACATTTGGGAATAAATTGATATTAGGTGAATAATTTTTCACATTATGATCCATTAATTAAAATTGAAAATCTGAACAAAATACACGCGACATATTTCCATTCGTGTAGCATCTATCAACATGTGTACAAAGTTAGGTCAGTCTCACAAAACAAAAGCGAATCGGTAAATACACCATGCATCTTGTATACAGGGTTGCCCCCTACGACACGGTTCCTGTAAGCCAAACCATTGATTTTTTCGGGAATTTCTCCATTTCATTATAAGTATATTGATTAAATCTACAGAAAAAAATCATTTTGGGTTCTATNCTACGATTGTAGGTTTTGAAATGAAACTACATAATTACATGAAAGATAGGTAATGGATTTGAAACTCGGAACATAATTAAAATTTTGAAAAATATAATTTAGTGCTGGAGTAACAAAGTAGGTGTCTATGATGAACATTGTGATGAAATATAAAACGTTATTGCGGCCGACTGTAGAATTCGTCCAAAACAGTTTTTTTCGTCAAAATCTAGAAGCAGCCTTTGAAAGTATTGCTCGGGCTAAGAAAATACAGTTCTTTAAACTTTATAACGTACCTACGTTCCCAAGAATAAACAAAAAGTCAGTGAGACAGCGCATTGAAATTTTTTAAACATTTTCATTAAATATCATTTCTTTTGCTTCGATTTTGCCAAATGTCTACTAGCGCGTAACATATTTGGGTATATCAATCAATCCAGTGATCTACTTTTGTAAGGCCTCTTTAGTGATATTTGTTGAGATAAATTTTCGTGATTGTAATTATTTCCTTGTATTCTAGTATAGGTATGCGTATGATTGGTAGATGTCGACTGTGTAGTTCACATATGTTATAAATGAAGTTTTATCAATGTAGAATAAAGAAGAAGAATAATAGGTTAGGTTAAGTACGGAACGGGAAAAACGTTTTCCCTTTTTCCGTTGTCATTGAAAGATAGCATGTATTGTAAGCAATTGAATATACATAGTGTGAAAAGCAAGACACGGTTCTCACTTAATTACAAAGAAACTATCACGATAAATAACAATATTCTGTAATGAGCATTTCAGAATCGAACTAGGGCAATACCAACTCCTCATTTTTGTAAAATTTCCTTAGTTATGTAATATAAATGTTGAAATGATTACAGAGTACAGGCGGTGAACGTAAAAAATAAATGAACTCAGAAAATCAACATCTACGATACAGATAGTGTTGAAGTCGCTAGATTGGAGGACGAGAAAAACAAATGTAAGATACCTGTGTGTAATTTCATATATTTATAGAAACTTCCGGGATTGATGTGATGATCTCATTAAATATACTATTAATAAAAAAAGTATATTTGAAATTCAAATATTCATTAAAAAAAATTCATCGTATCAGAAGAAAATACAAAGACTGAAAACAACACGTTTCTGAGATGAAACTGCTGATATCCGTTCTAATCGTAGAAATAAATATTTTTTTTATTATAATAGGTACATATAAAATATGAACACTTGGCATTGTGTAATAGAAACAGTACAAAAGAGGGATGTAATTTGAGAAAACTATTTTCCGGGTCTTATGGCCGTGGTCTGCAGGTTATGTCTGACGTTTTGTCCACTACTGCGGTAGATATCATCAAAGGCGATGTGGTAACACTGCGACCGTTACCAGATACGGGATAGTTACCGGATATCCGTTTCATTTCTTGATAAGGAAATAATAAAGATATTCAATAAATCACAGCATTTCAGTTACAGAGGTGCATGCATGGTACAACTCAAGTGACACTGCGTGACAATGTCACGCTTCAATTTTCTACGTTGTTCACATTTGGGAATAAATTGATATTAGGTGAATAATTTCTCACATTATGATCCATTAATTAAAATTGAAAATCTGAACAAAATACACGCGACATATTTCCATTCGTGTAGCATCTATCAACATGTGTACAAAGTTAGGTCAGTCTCACAAAACAAAAGCGAATCGGTAAATACACCATGCATCTTGTATACAGGGTTGCCCCCTACGACACGGTTCCTGTAAGCCAAACCATTGATTTTTTCGGGAATTTCTCCATTTCATTATAAGTATATTGATTAAATCTACAGAAAAAAATCATTTTGGGTTNGCTAACCGACGGTTATCGCGCTGTACCCTGTATAGATTCTGGCGGCGAAAACGAGTTAATATCAATGTCTTTTGTTAGGTTTGAGGGCCGCCGTAATTCTCTAATAAAGAAATTCTGCATTATTCGACGGCCCATAAACCCGACAAAAGACACCGATAAAATGATCTTTCCAATATTATTTTTATAAATGTTGCAAGCACAACGGACAACTTTATGAACCACAGTGTTTTTCTCTTTTAGGTGAATTTATATAGGAATATAACATTTCGGAATTCAAAACAAACTTACAATGGCATTCCTGTCATGGCGTCGAACATGGACACTGTCGGAACTTTTCAGATGGCAAAGGCTCTTTCAAAGGTGAGTTTTTTCGCATGAAATTGAGTTCATAATGTAATATTATAAAACCATATTTTATAATAGGAAATAAAAAGTTATATAGGTAACTGTAATTTTCTGATCAGTATATCAGTTTAATTTTTTCATAAATTCATTCATATATGGTCCTGGGTTGACAAAATAGAACTAGGTATTGAAAAATCTGAAATCTACAAAAATTACTTCAAAGTACTCTATATCAATGAGATTCAGTATTTCCTTTCATTCTTTTATAATTTTCATTTTCAACTATTGAATTGGTTTCTCGATTTGAGAAACGTAGGTAGGTACAGCAATGAAACTTCATTTTTACAAATTTTAATCGTGTAGAATATGATTATCATATGGAGTTCCGTGGTGGCCGTGGTAGTGGACGGACGTGCTGATAACGTCCGTCCACAAAGAATGTACGCGGATGCCATGTGCTATCGTGGGGCTTCGTTTTGTGTTGTGTTGTATTGAAATTGAAATGTGGAGTTTCTAAAAAAGTGATGAATAAGTAGCCCCCTTTATTCACGCCGGTATCCAGGCCGGGGTGGTTCGGATAACCACGTAAAGGGGGCTATATATGTGAAAAATTACCAAGGATTTCCCAATCAGGAGGCGACTTCAAAAAATCAAATTGTTTTTATGTTAAAAAAAACTAGTGTTTTTTATTATAATAAGTTAGAAAAAAATGGGTGGCAGCATTGATTTATGCAAGACCGCAGCGCCACCCGACGAAGCTCCTGTTATCCAACAGGAGGAGCATTGGTCATATGCGCCTGAAGATAGGAAGCAACGACCATCTGAAATAGAGAGAGAGATGATTATCATATATAAACACTTGCAGTTCTAACAGTTTTTATAAACTGTCACATAGTAGCTAGTTAGAATTGGTTGTAAGTTTATTTCTTGAAGATTTTTTTCAGTGGTACTTCTCTAGAATATTTTTCAAATTGCCTTTTGTACTCGTCGGTCTGTCTATTGCTGCATTGGTTCAGCGTAAAGTGTCGGTCTATCGGTTCTGGTCTGGTATTTATGTCCCTGGACGAGTGGATGGGGGACCGGTAGTGGGCGGATGGTGGAGTTGGTGATGGAAATGAGGATGGGCCCAATGCCTCATTGGATTGGGCATTGTGTCCTCAGGTGTTCGAAAAAAATTGAAAATTTGATTGTTGCCTTTGAATACTATTCTTATTAGTGCCCCTTCAGTATTCGGCTCACTTTGCCGGTAACTCCATGAATATAAGGAAGAAAAGTCTTTTGGTCCGTCTGTTCATCGAACTGTTTGGGATGTGGGGGAAGGGTTTGCTGAAGCTGGATGGATCCTTGGGTTTGGGATTCGGGATAGTCGTTTAGGTCAAGGGCGGATTTGGGTTTGTCTAGTTCCTTAGATCTATTATGGCTGTCAGTGAGTCTGATAGACCTGTGTATGAAGAATAGAACGGAATTTACTTGGGCAGGATGATGATGGGACTTGGCATTGACGTAGCGGTTAGTGTGGGTTGGTTTTAGATAAACAGTGTGTGTGAAAAGAATCCATTGGATTTTGTGAGGAGAACGTCCAGGAATGGAAGTGAGTTGTCATTACTGACTCCCATTCGACTTCCATCATACTCCTCTTCGGGAATGAGACACTTAAAGACAGGAAAATCTACTCTTCACTCCTCATTCGAAAGACCAAACATCTATGTCACCTTTCTTTTCTCAAAGCTTGCCGAACACATCAAGTAATTCCCAAGGCATTTCAGATCAGGTCAGGATAATTCGCAAAGCTACTGAAATTGAAACGTCCAACTCCCTCCACAGACGAGATGACTCACGGAGATTACCTCCTTCGTGACAGTAATGATTACTGTAATTACTGTCAGCATCGCCTTCACTACCGGTCCCTCCCTCCACTCATCCAGGGACATGCATACGAGACCAGAACCGATGAAGCGATGAACCGACAGGAGTCCATTCAGTCGAGGAATTGGTTAGCCAACGATAGCAGCGAAACTCACGATGATGCGTTAGTTAGAGAAGCTATAGATTATACTGTAGACAACTCCCCCCAATATAAAAGGCCCCGACACTGTTGAATGAGACCCTCATATCGGATGAATAATTTTCTCACCCCAACCAGGTAGCGGTATACCGTGAAGTGCGGTACGGGAGTTTGGGGACCTTCATACCGTCATCAATCCCCAGTCTGTTATGTCTTGTTTGTCCTTCTCTACAAACTTACATCGTAAGGGTAAGGGAGCTACGCACCAACCTGTTTAAATTAAGACGATGACTCGGATGGACCGACAATTGACGCTTGGGAGTAGGGGCAGATTGAGATCCTTGCGGAGATCAACGACGAGACCTGTGGAGTAGATAGATTGAGACCTCAGTATAGTGCTGGCTTCTGGAAAATGGCTTCAAGTCGAAGCTGAAACGTCGAACTACCAAAAACACAATACGCGGTTCAAGTCGCATATCCGAGTTGAAACAAGACATATTATGGTGTATTTTAATTTTTCTTGTTGGGTTGCAAAATTCCAGAATATAACATTCATGAACGTTTATTATATTTCTAGCATGGATTATTCACCTGTATTCACAAATACTACACCGTCGAAGAGTGGAAGACTTTCGCTTTGGAGAATACAGATTGTTTGAAAAATATGGCAGCTAGTTCTGGTATACTTGACGCCGACTTTGAAAGATTATCAGATATTTTGAACGCCGTTCCAGGACTTTCTTTCGTTTGTCTGGATGTTGCAAACGGTTATTCTCAACATTTTGTTGAGTATGTGAGAAAAGTCAGAGCTGCTTTTCCTAGTCACACTATAATTGTAAGTATGTACAGATACCTTGAGCACGATTTGGTTTAAGTAAAGGCGATGACATTTCTCCCTATGAAAACGCTATCTATGGGATCGACAAAAGATTCTATCCAATCATTATATGCGAGCGCTTTCGATAGCAAACTGTACTATCATCTTCATGGCTCTACTCAAACTGAACGTTTTATCTTCTTGTTCGTTTTTTTATACGGTTAGATCGCCTCAGTGAATTTGTTATTGTTGTTAATGGTTCATTAATTAGGCCTTGGGCAGGTATTTGTCCTCCCTTTCATCCGGATGTCTCATTGAATTTGCCTGTACTTGGGTTATATCAGGTAATATCCTTTGTGTTTGTGTTTCTCTAGGTTCATTGTTTCTGGGAATGAGTATTGTTTTGTGGAGTATATTGAATGTTGGGTCTCGTTGTGTTTTGATTTTTATTTGTTCCTCGATAAATACATTGTGACTTTTGTCAAAGGTACGACGAGCAGAAAAAGTCATACATAAACCTAATAACATATAAATCAAACCTCGCCACACATGCCATACAAAGCAAACATAACTTTCCCTCACCAGAAGACATCAAACTCACCTGATATAACTCAAGTACAAGGAAATTCAATGAGGCATCCGGATGAAAGAGGAGGACAAATACCTGCCTAAGCCCTAATTAAAGAACCATCAACAACAATAACAAATTCACTAAGGCGATATAACCGTATAAAAGAACAAACAAGAAGATAAAACGTTCAGTTTAAGTATAGCCATGAAGATGATAACACATTATGCAATCGAAAGTGCTTCCATATAATAATTAGAAGGATTTGGAACACTCACCTTTCATTATTTTGCTATTTCTTTTCTCTCCTTTTCTATCTTTCATAATATTTACGTTGAAGAGTTCAAAATTTGTTCGAAACAATGCAATTTATTAAAAGTATTGATACTGATCATATTCTTTATTTTTCTTTTAGGCTGGCAATGTGGTGACTGGAGAAATGGTGGAAGAATTGATATTATCTGGTGCTGATATTATAAAAGTCGGAATTGGTCCTGGATCTGTTTGCACCACCAGAATAAAGACGGGAGTGGGTTATCCCCAATTATCGGCTGTGATAGAATGCGCTGATGCTGCGCATGGCCTTCAAGGACACATTATATCGGTATACATTCTCAATTGGTGGTTAAATCAAGTGTTGACGCTATCAACTATTTTTCTTTTTTCTGTTAGTCAGTGGGCTATGCTTGAAGACTGGCAGTAAACAAATCTAAAGAAATGAACTTTAAACGTTCAAGCCAGTCTCGGATATACCTACACAGTAGGTTGAATGGACTGACGCCTATCAGAAAATAACTACTCCCCTGGCTAATACTATGAAGGGCGTTGGATTATATCCGACAGGCGTCAGTGCAGGAATCTTAACAGAAAATTTCCTGCATATGCAATTGGCAATACAACTGAAAGAGTCGACCTTCAATTCTGGAACGGGCACACTTGCAGACCGGTTTCGGGCTTATTAGTCACTCATCAGTGCAAGAATTAAAGTCAATGATATTCCATAATTGAAAATCGGAATTCTTTCAGAGTATTTCATTCCTCTTCCTAAGTTGGAGCGAACAACAAAATGTCACTTCATCTAGTGGACGAGGTACTAACCAACTGCATATCCGTAATTTGCCCGATTCCTCTGAATAAGGAAGAAAAAGTTTCTTATTAGTTAGTGGGCTGGCAGCAAACAAATCTAAAGAAATGAACTTTATACAATTTTTCAATTGCAGGATGGTGGGTGTACATGTCCAGGGGATGTAGCCAAAGCCTTCGGGGCTGGAGCAGATTTTGTGATGGCCGGTGGGATGTTTTCCGGTCATGACCAATGCGAAGGTGACATAATTGAAAAGAACGGCAAGAAATATAAACTCTTTTACGGCATGTCTTCCAGTACGGCGATGCAAAAACATGCAGGTAGAAAAACCATCTTTCGCAAGTGTTTCAAGTTTGTTTCAAAAGTTTCTATGAGTCTGATTTAAACTCTAGTATCTCAGTGAATACTTACTTACTAGCGACACGCTCTGGCTCTGCACGGGTGCAATGCTGATACTGAATATGATTTCACCCACCGGAGAAACAAAGATGAATTAGTGTTGAGTGAGTGACTTTCCCATTTATAAGTATAGATTCAATTCAATTGAAGTAAGCGATAAGCACAAGCAACGTAGCACAAGTCGATTAATTCCGTCAGCATGAAAATTGTGTGCTCATGATTCGATTGAGTCGACGAAGGCTGTTATTGCCTGGATCTGATTGCCGAAGGTTCTACCGGTGAGAAAGTTATCAAGGTGCTTGAAAAGATGGAAGTAGGTTGGCGGGGGTCTGGTGGGTGAGGCAAAAATGTACGCTAATAAAAAGTAATTTAATGGATATGAACATGGCGATAAAGGAAACCAAGGTTCTAAGGTATTGGTCCTTCTGTACTGATCCACCACCCAAGAAAGTTTAGGTGAAAGTAATCTACATTACTTGTCACATTTTGAGCTCCACACCCACCAAACAATTTTAATTATATTCAATGAAATGTTTTTTGCGAAAAAAAGTTTTTATGATGTACTGTTTGGAACCTTTGGCGTAGTAATGAATATTACTGGAGTTTTTTCCAACACCAAATCGAAACATGTTTCGACACATGTTTCGATCACCAAGTGATCATCTTCAAGACGAAGATAAAACTGGAAACTTCGCGAAACTAAAGCTATTTATGCTATACAGATATATCATATGGGCAAACCATACAGGTATACCACCCATACAGGTATACCACCCTGAATTAATTTTACAATTAGCCTTATCTATTATTTTACAATATGTCCTTATGTGAAGTTCAAATGTTATAGCTATTAATAAAACAATTTTCAGCTATATAAAAATTAATATCACAATATTGCCTATCTAAATATATTTACAATGTGTCCTTATGTAGTAATCAGTAAACCCAACAATATTATTTTAACAAGCTATATATAGTATGCTATTTGGTATTGGTCCGTCATTGTTATTCATAATATTATTATGTTTACTTATTTCTACACTCTCATAGGCATCTAGTAACCTGTTGTTGTTAACTTTAACTAATCTTAATGAACTGAAGTCTATGGAATGGATTTGTTGCAAAATATGATGGGCGACTCCTGATTTTTCAGGTCTTCTATATTTTAAGTGTGCTATGTGTTCCTTATATCTCACTTTAATAGATCTTTTTGTCTGTCCATACTATTTTGCATCGCTCTGCATGTTCTGTAGTGTATGAATTGTTTTAAAAACAACCTTCATATCTAGTTCCTTGAAAATCTTTCCAAAGTTCTTCGTATATTGGTGGTATGGAACTGAGATGTATTCATCTTGGTTTTTGTCCTTTCTGAAAATCCAGATTTCGTTCATTCTTAACCTAAACTTCTTCTTCCTTATTATGTCATCTACAATACCCCTCGAGAAACCGTTAGTGGCTGCTATTTCCTGTATTGTACGTTTTTCTTTTGTGATCCTATCATGTGTTAGAGGAAAAGTCAAAAGACGATGCACCAAAAAATTCAACCCAGCACGTTTGTGCTGTTCACAGTGATGTGAACTGTCAGGAATTTACCTATACGTGCTTGTTTCTTTCCTAAATATATCGTATTCTAACCCTCAATATTGGCTCCTCGTTACCAAAACGTCAAGACATGGTAGTTGTCCCTTATTTTCTAACTCATACGTGAATTTTATTGATGGACTTCTATTATTTAAAAAGGCAACAAAGTCCTCAATATTCGATTTTTTGGTATCAGATGTAGACCCACAGCACTTAGGCCATATGTGACCCACTGTGCATTCTCCCGAGGAGTTGTCCTCCTAGGTCATAGTCCACCCTGTCCTTTCCAGGAAGGTGGGCAGGTCACTAGGAGACATCTCCTTTATATTGGCAGGTGTAGGCCAAGACTCGCCGAACACACACTCTCTTTGGCAACCTTGAGGTGTCTCACGGTGGCCTTCGCGAAGGTTTTGGAAGATGCAGCAACATTACTGTCGTTGCGCGGCTTCTTCAACCTTCTTGGGGTTCCCTCTTTGTAGGTGCACACGTGAGGGACCTTTCCTGGAGGGGCAGCCGGTTCCTTGCCTTTATTCAAGGCGGAGCTCTTGGCGCCCGCCGCAGGAAGTGTCCTTGCTGTTGAAGGTGTAGTGGGTGAAGATGAGGGTGCACTTATAGTTGCTACCACTCCTGCCTCTTTCGCTCCTTTCTCCTTTTAGCCTCGGCGCCGAAAATGCGCTTACGCTTTGACCTTTGTATTACGTCACCAGGTGATCTGCTATGTCCAGCCTCATTCCAAGCGGTATATTGGGATGGACATTTCTGTTCATCCCCAGCCACGGCCTTAGATTGAGGTGAGCACGTCTGTCCAGCCTCGGGATTGGTTTTTGTTGTTTCTGTTTTTGTGTTTGTTTCATTCATGTATGTTGCCACGAGTAGCTAGGGAAGAGTTGGTCACCTCTGACAGTGCCCCGCATTACCAGAGGTAGGCTGGTTACAATGAGCTTTCACCCAGTTCCCCAAAGGGATCGTTCGTAACCGCATATCACCCTGCGGCCATTCAGCTATCGACATGATTCCTTACACCTTAGCTTGGGTAGGCTGATCCACAGTGGCATGTTTTTCAAAGGCTTTTGGCGAGTTTTAGTTCCGCTCACCCTACTCATTTCTGCCACTGACCAGGAGTCCGGCGACCCCGTCCGTAAGGCCATACTGGCTTCCCGGACAGGGTCTCCAGTCCTCTGACCGTTCCCCTATCTGCCACCTGGGGACGCGCCCAACCCACGTGCAGCCGATTCTTATGCGTTCGGGCGCTTTGGACGAGGTTCACCAATTACTCTCCAGTCAGATGACGATTGTTTTGATTCCAGAGTTAAGTGATGGATCCATGTTTCATCCATTGTCACATTTTCGGTGCTTATGTTCAAACATGGCCAAACACTGCTCAGAATCATCAAGACGTTCTGGTTTTTGGTCGCGCGGCACCCTCTTTTTGAATAGAGCTTTCTCATAGACAAATGCTCATGCAATATACAGTGTGTCCAAGATAAGGATCCTAAGCATGGGAATCTCAGTACCTGTTGGAGATACAGCTTAGGTTAAATTAGGAAAAAGTTGTGAAGTCAGAAAAAAATAAAATTGATATTGTCAAATTCTCGTTTTTCCCAAATATCTCAGCAGGCCATGAAAATTCTTCAAGTTTCTAAACGGCATGTAAATAAGTTTTAAAGAACACAACTTCCTAATTTAACCTAAGCTGTATCTCCAACAGGTACTGAGATTCCCATGCTTAGGATCCTTATCTTGGACACACTGTATAGCCAACACTTTCTTTTGATAGTTAACTCACGCAACTTCACTTTTCGATCATTCAAAACGATTTTGTTTTTTTTTTGTTTTCTGGTGTTACTGCCTCATTTGGACGTCCAAATTGTAAAATTAAAACATGAAATTGTTTTTGATCTATTGTTTTGAAACTAACAGAAGTAGTGTCACTCTCAACATAATAACTCACAAACTTATGAGTAGAATATCATGAAATGTCAACATCTTTCTTTTGAAAGCTGTACTACTGAAAAAGCGGTGAATGCAATAGGATTAGCGCCATCTATGTGTTAGTCCCGAGACTTTTCAGCCCATCTAGCATACATTTTGAAAAGCCTGTTCGGAGTATAAATGAAGGTCATGTAAGAAAACTATATTTTTTCTCCAAAAAGGGTCTCATTTCTCTTGGTATAAAAATTGATAAGTCGGTCGTACGGTTCTTCTAAGATCTCAATGTATTTTCTCAGTACTGATCGGACTCTCACTTGTAGAAATGTTATAGTTGGAAACCCACAATTGTATCCAATTGTTATATACAACCAAGCAATATTGGATAATAAAGAAGCATTTGCTAGTGGCAAAAAAGGTTCTGAGGAAATATATCAACGGAAAAGAAATTATAATAATGTTATTGAAATGGAATGGAATTTTGACTAAGTATTACGAACTTTTCCGAAACTAATGATATTGAATGTCATATTCAGGATGATAGATAGATAGATACTTTATTAATCATGTTATGTACACAAAATACATTCATGACAAGTCGCAGTTAAAAAATGGTGGAATGGTAGTTCAAAAGAAATAAAGAGGTTTTTTGTAAAAATATGTGTAAATAAATCAATAACATAAATAGAATAATACATTAAAATGTTATTCCAGACACAATGGACATCACAAACACGAACTTGAGCATAAGTCAACAATCATATAATCAGTTATTTTAATAATTGAAAAATTATTAAAAATTTATGATTCCCTGAGCATAGTTACACCTTGCTTTACACATTTCACATATTCCTCAAGAGAGTAGAAGGGGTTTTCGAGCAAAAATAATTGTATTGTTTTATTGAAAGCGAAAATTCCGAATTTTCTGACTTCCATTGGAAGAATGTTATAGATATAGACGTTCAATTTCAGTGAATTATTTTGGGATTTACTGAGCCTTTGTCTGGGTCCTCTTATTATATCTGCACCTCTGGTGTTGTGCTGATGAATGTCAGATTGTGTTATTCATGTAGGAATCCTTTTGTGAATTTCAATCGAAGTATTCCAAATGTAAATAGAAAGAAGAGTTACGATTTTTAAATTTCAAAGAGTGGTCTGCGGGTTTCTTTATATTTTGCATTGCACAGAATTCTAATACTTTTTTTTGTCGGAAAACGCTAGAAACTGCAGATGAGTTTCCCCAAACGACAATTCCATAATTAAGATGAGAATGGAATAAATAAAAATAAACTGATCTGGGGTTGCTTATATTTGTGCAATGTCAATGTTGTCGCATACTGAAAAGAGAGCGTGACAGTTTCAAATCTAGTTGCCTGATGAGCTCAGTCCAGATTAGCTTATCGTCCAAAAAATCCTAGAACCTCCACATTTTCATCCTCTGGAATGGGTTTCCTAGTATAGATCATCAAGTTTTGTGATTTATTGTAGTTT